CAATTCTTGTAGAAGTGCCCATCTACAATTTTTATTGAATTATCTCCGCTGTCAACTTTTTCAAAATAATTTTCTATTGAAAGAGAATGTTACAACCTTTAAAAAATTGTTGAATGCTTTTAAACAACCAACACACCTATTACTAAACATAAGACCAATATTCAAATGAACATGTTTTGTGTTCTCCTTAATGTTTGGAAAGATCAAAATATCAACCAAACACCAATCTTTTCTTTAGAACTCTTTGCAGAGGGTCATTTTAGTCCTAGAGTTTATAAATGTGTCAATTTAAATCCCAAATTGTTTTACTATTGGTTGAAATAACTCCAAATAATGAATACTTTAGCCCCATTAAAAAAGTCTAGGGAATAATTTAGCACTTTTATAACCTTTGGGACAAAAAGGATTCCATGTAAATAGCCATGGGACTATTTTGGCACTTCACTCATCATCTATTCATTTTTATTCTTTGCGACTCTTGAACTCACTGATTTTAGCATTTTGCAGGGTTACTTTTGTAATTGCATTCCTTCTGCTATTGACTGGTTCTGCACTGAATGATCAGAAAGGTATGGAGAAGATGTACTTAGGCAATTACTGCTATGTTTTGAAGCCTGGGGTCTTCTCTGGAGGTGCATTTTTATCACTTGCAAGTGTCTCCTTAGGAATTATCTACTATTTGGCCCTCCAAAAACCTAAGAGTTTGCCACCTTGGAATCCTCCACACAACCAGGGGATTGCCTTAGGAATGCCCCAAATCCCTCCTCTGAACGAAAATCCGGTCTTTGTGCACGAAGATACCTACTATAGGCAACAAGTTTTGTAAAACAAAAAAAGAAAAATTAGGATTTGCAGAAGACCACAGCAGTTTTCTTTAGCAATCTTTCTGTAAAATTGAAACTATATATAGATTTGCAGAAGACCACAACATTTTTCTTTAGCAATGTTTCTGTAAAATTGAAAATGATGCTATTGGGACATATATTTTATGTGATTTTTTTGTGGGTTGTATTTAATTAATGAATGCTTTTTTTTTTTTTAAAGCTAGTTGTTGTTTGATTCTGTAATATCGATTATATGATTTTTATGATATGATATTATTGGCGGATGATGTATAAATGTTCATACTTATTTCTATTTAAGGTTTTATTATGATTAAGATGAATATTGAATCAAATATTGCATGGTTAATAGAATAATATTTTTATCATTAACATATTATTTGTAATGGGGGCATTTACATAAATAGCCCCCAATTCCTAAGTATTAACATATTTAGCATCTAAACTTTATTTTTTACATTACAATGACAAGAGACAGTGAAACCTAAGAAAGTTTTCTCATGTATCATAGGCTGATACAAACAACAGACCTTCAAACCACTTCTCACATAATAAACCAAAGAGAAAGAGGTAAAGTAACAATCATCACTTTAGGGGAATCCTCTAAAGCTTAGCTGGGTGTGGCGCAGTGCCTGCGCTTGGTGTTGTACCTAAGAGGAAAGAAGACAAATCAAAAATGAGAACGAACGACGAAAAATAAATGATAATGTGACAAGCCAAATAGCACATATATTTAAAGTTAGAGAAGCACCTAATGGTGTTGTTTGTTCTCATGTGAATCCAATGGGGAATAGCTGCAAAGCCTCTTCAAACGAAGCCTTAAGCTGGCTATTTCCGTGCTTTGCTTGTCGAGTAAATGTGATAAATAAATCTCATTTAAGATCAGGTCGTTTAATGAATGAGCGTTATTTTTATTTATATTTTTTTTGGGGAAGTGAGGGCAACACCCAACTATATTCAAACAAAAGACCAGATTACAAGATCCAAATAACAAATTACAGTACCAAATAAAACATAAACCCCAACAAGACCATCTAGACAAAACAAAAAAGATCAAGATATCCAAGCCAACAAAACAGCACCAGAAGCGGGTTGAGTTCTCTTCCACAGCTAGAACAAGATGCACTCTCATTAAACCAGAAGCTCCAAACAAGACTTACGACACCAAGAACAACAACTAGAAACTCCAGCATTCCAATTGAGGAAAACTAAGAACGATAGCAAAAGATATCAATGATCTACACATCCAGTCGAAATTCATCTCCATATAGTGCAACTAAAGATAAATCTCCGAAGGTAATCAATAATCAACAAAAAGTTGGATCCAAAGAATCTGCAAAAAGAAACCAAACAAAAAACAGGACCCAGAGAAGGAAAACAAAACTTTAACTTGAGAGGCAAGTTTAGACATGTTAAAATGAGCAAGCAAAAATCATTGAAAAAAAATAAAGGAGCAGTATGCTCATAAGGCACTAGGCTCATATTGGACATATATGTTTTATGAGGGATGGAATATACTTTTTGAATTTTTATTTTTTATTTTTTTACCTTTCAGATATATATGAGAAAATCACAAATAATTATAAGATGAATACAAGATATTTATGAGCATCGTTTGTTTCACACTCCAATTACCTTGAGGGACATTTACATATTTGCCAACCAATTCTTATGTATTTACATAGCTAACTCATGCTTGTAAATACGTAGGAATTAAGTGACGTGTGTAACTCTTCCATGCATTAATATAGATTTGGCGCCGCCAGGTCTAGATAATGTCGTGAGCGAGGGATGCGTGCTTGGCAATAGGGCTGCCAAAAAAGCTTGTTGTTTGTAAACAGTTCGTGTTCGGCTCGTTAAGAAGCTCATGTTCGATTCTTTTGGTAATTTAATAAGCCGGACACAAACATTTTTTTTGTGCTCGATATGTACTCATTTTGGCTTGAAATACCAGTGTATATATATCTATGTTGATGAGTGGCATTTAAAAAAAAAAAAATTGACTAAGTGGCTACAAAGATTTATAATTAATTAAAAATTATTAATTAAAAAATAGAATAAAATTTTATTAAAGTATATTTAAATGATGTTTTAATATAAACAATAAGATTTAAATCTTGCTCCAATTCTTAACATCCTACGGCTGAGTGATTAAAGTTATCAAAACGACTCTTTGTTCGCGAACAACTCGTGACACATTTTTTGTGTTTGAAATATAAACGAACCAAACATGAACATGAGCTGAGCCTAAGCTCGCTTGTGTTGGGCTCGTTTACACTCTTACTCGGCAACGGACAGTCTCAATTACCATGAAGGCAAGGAAGCAGAAAAAGTGCGAAGGAGGTCTGGCAGTGATTTGACGAGTGGAATGTTTCTTTTGTATGGATCCTTGAGGGATGAGATGGTCGACAAAGAAGATGGAAGGATCTGAAGTGATTCAAATTCTACAAGATCTAATTGTTCCACAAAGGAGGGAATGTTCGGCAGCAGCAGAAGCTGAAGAACATCTCGCACATGTAGAAGCTCAAGTGAAGAGAGGCCTTCCAAGGAGGAAGGGAGAGACTACAGGGATTTGAGATTATAAAAGGACAACTCACAAAGGACGAGCTAACTTACAGAAACCACTGCTCTGGATCAATTGGAAATGAAACCTGCTCTTTATTATGAAAAATTGGCAGCCTTTGCAAGGAGGTGATATTTCTCAATGGTTCCATCAGCAATGTAGTTCTCAGGGTCTCTCCTCTGAGGTATTTTAAATTGCCACAATTGTGGATTGTAATGCTACAACAGTTGTTAGTATCTTGTAGCCAGTTAAAAGATTCCCACCCCATGTTCTCTATCTCCATTTTCTTGAGCTTGGGAGGTAAAGAGGGCAACTCCTGTAAATTAGGGCAGTACTTGAGATAGAGTTCAGTTAAGCAAGGAAACAAGCAAACATCCCTTGCTGCTCCTGCATCAAACCAATCCTCCAATACTTTTCAGGTTCTCAATATGTAGCACCTTTAGTGATGGAAACACACAATCATCATCATTCAGATGAAATTGATGGTCAAGTCGTTTTGCTTTTGGCATGGCATGAAGGTATTGATACTTGAGGAATGGAAGCTGCCCAAACGGTGGAAGAGTTTCCCACTCTAAACTTTTAGCCAGTTTGATGTACTCTAGATTGGAGATCAAACTGGCATCATACATTGGTAAGAAACCATAAAAAATATTCCTTTCATACCAAAACTGATTATAGATTAAGAACTGCAAATGATAAAGACTGCCTAGAGATCTAAACAATGGAGTAAAATCACAACTATTAAAATTTAAGTATCGAAGATGCTTCCAATTTTCAATTGCTTTAGGTTTCATTTTCAAGTACGGAGAACATAAGAACAGCGAACGAATGCTTTCTAATGTACTAAAAATTTCAGTAAGAGTACTCATAAACACTTGATCATCTCTCAAGCAAGTCAAAAAAAGCGAATTATTGAAATTTAACCAAAATCATCTCAACATGTCCCGAAAAAATTTCAAGGACATTTGGCATTCCTTGAGAGATTTGAAGTGTCGGTTGAAAAACATTGGAGATGGCTGTAAGACTTTTGAAAAGTGTTTCAATGGTAGTGCCTTCCTAACTTTTTCATGGGTGCTACCGGACAATGACCCCCCTACTTTAGAAGTGGCTTGACTCCATAGGCTTAATCAAGTAATCAAGTCGTGTTTTGAGGCAGAGTTTTGGAAGACTAGTGTCAACGGAAGTTGCATTTTACACCCCCACCCACGAGAGGATTATTGTTTGACTAGACTATGTTAGGCTTGTGCAAGTTGAGTTGGATTGGTTTGACGAGGTCCAATTCCTTTTGAGAAAGACTTATTGACTTAAGTTGGCTTGGTTCGGCATAAATTTATGTTGGTCCTGATGATAATAAAAAAACATGAAGATGCTATATGTTTTATTGAAAAGGGGCTGTAAAGTAAGATTGCATAAAGTAAATAGTGTACTGAAAATATTTTTGAGCTGTTTGGTGTACACTATAAAGGTAGGAAATTCCTTGTTTTGTTTGGTTTGAAGTAAATTTTATTTACTATAAAAATTGGTTGGGGAATTCACTCTATACATTTGTGCATTCTTGTTCTTTTAGAATGTAAGGATAGAAGATTCAGTTGATCACTGGCTTTCTTTCTGCTTTCTGCCTTGTTTGATGCTCTTCTTAGTCTATTGTTTTTTATGATTTTAATGGCCATGGATGAGAGTGATTTTGAAAAAGAGGCATTTACATACATGGCACACAATTCTTATGTATTTACATATCTCAAACGAAAACCTTCATATTTGCACACATAGCACCCAAAATTTTATATAACATAAAAAATAGCACTATCACCACTTTTTAAAAGTGAAATATATATTTTCATGAATAAGCTTGAAGCGAACCATTGTGTTATGTATGTACACGTAAATACATAGGAATTGAGTGGAATGATTATATTTTCATAGATAAGCTTGAAGCGAACCATTGTGTTATGCATGTACACGTAAATACATAGGAATTGAGTGGAATGTCTGATGCAGTGAATTCTCGTATAAGCAGCAGCAACTATGTCCTATACTTATGTATTAGTATTTTATTACTAATTAATACTGAATATTAGACCTTTATTTGTATTTAGCTTTATTCTTATTGTATGTATGTACCGTAGTGCTGATAGTGGAGACACCTATACATATTATTAGAATTATTAGGTTTATTTGCTTTCCATAGCCGTTATTATTTATTAATTCTCCTAAATCTGCATTATGTAGTTTCCATTTTTATCATTATTCAGATTTTATTTCTTTGATTGTGTTTTTATTACTTTTCTTATTTGAGTCCATTGTAATTGGGTTTAAATACACCTCTTTGTATCAATGAGAGACATGCCAAGATCATCAGTTTGATAAAGATGATTTAGTCCGAATGTGGACTGCATCGGTTTTCATTCAGGAATCTTCAATTGAAGAAGAGACTTTGGAAAATGTTGGAGAAAGGTATTTTAGTGTTTTGGTCAGAAAAATCCTTTTTTGATGAGTTTCAGGATGAGAAAACATATTGTAAGATGCATGATTTAAGTCATGATTTGGCAGAGTCTATTTCTTCGTATCAGAGTCATGAGACTCTAATCCTAGAGGTTCCCTATCCTGCCGCAGCCACCTTCCAGCACCTGCTGTTTTTTCCTATCTGTCGTAGAACAGCATCTGCGGTTCTTTCCCTGCCGCAGAACAACAGCATCTGCGTTTTTCCTGTCTGCCGTTTTCAGTAAAACCTTGACCACCTCTTCTACTAGTCAAAAAAAGTGAATGTAAATTTTTAGCATCTTTAACCATTTTCAACACTTATAGATTTTGAGATTTAACAAATTATTGTCGAATAGATTCAGGAATTTTAAAAGATAAAACAATATTTTCCACGAATCTGAAACATTTTTCTGAAGAAATAGACTGTGCCAAATCATGCAATAAATCATGCATCTTATAGTATATACTCTTGTTTTACTGAAGCTCGTCAAAGAAAGATTTTCTGACCAAAACATCAAAATACCTTCCTCCAATATCTTCCAAAGTCTCTCCTTCAATTCCAAAGTCCTCCAATATCTTCCAAAGTCTCTCCTTCAATAGAAGATTCCTGAATGAAATCCAATGCAGGACTAAATCATCTTTATCAAACTTATGATCTTGTGGGAATATGCCACAAAATGAAAAACAATTTTGTAGAGATTCTGGGAGGAATGTAAAGCTCAACCTCAGCTGAAACTTTATCAAGTTTCTTCACAACTGCCTCCAGTCTCTCCAAGTTGGGATCAATTTTGGGAGCTCGTTCACAGTCTCTGTGAAGTTTGCGAGCAGGTTCCGAAAATAATCTTGTGAATGAAAAACACAACTTTATTTCCTCCATGTTCAGCTTCTGTTGTTCTTCTTCAAGCTTCATGTACTCAAAGTCATCAAGAACATCATCTGCCTCATCGATGGCATCTCGTAGCTGGTTGGAAGCAGAGACGACAGCTTGGATCTTGGGGTGGTTCACTCGCAGCCTTTCCAGCTCCTCCTTCTTGCCTGTCTGCCATCTGAAGTAGTGATCTTGCAGGTAATCAGAGCAAGCATTGATGAGCTTGTCCATGATTGGGCCAACAAACCAGTGAGCCATGGCACAGATCGAGGTAGAAGCAGGAGGGACTGGGGAAGAGAAGAGAGTCAAGACTGAAGAGAGGGTTTGCCACAATGGCAATGGATGTGTGGTGGGTCGTTGATGTATTGAACTTAATTCATTTGATAAGATGGTATTATTTTAATATTAACTTTTCTTGTGAGCTTAACATTAAATAATTTTAGGTGCTTTAAATTTTCTTACAAGCCACCATAGATAGTCAAATTTAGTGAGAAAACACAGATTTTAGCTGCGGCATTTAGAAAACACGAGCAAAATATATTTTTGTCAGACAGAAATAACTGTGATGCTGCACTGCACCACCGCCTACGCACTGTCGCCCCAAACACACCCAAATGGTTTGTTTGGGCCGGCGATGCAACACCACATTACAGTTATCTGTTTGGTAAAAATACGATTTGTTCGCGATCTCGAAAAGCTACCTTTAAAACCAACGTTATCACACTACTCTTGGTTGGGTGCGGTGATAACTTTCTAGCCGCGGTCTAATTTTTAAGAGAAAAATTATAATAGCCACCGTCACTTTTGAGCATCAAATTATTATTCAACAACTTTACAACCACATTTTAATAAGTTGCAACTGCCCTAAACATACCCTAAATTTGTTTATTTGAGATACTTGAACCAGTTTTTTTGTCAACCAAACATTTATAGAAGTTTCAAACTTTTTGTTCAATTATTCAAATAATCATAAACTAGCTCTAATTAAATTGAGCAGCAGTAGGGTGCCAAATGTTTGGTTCATTTGCATCACTGGTCTATGATAAGGCAATTACAAGGAAGGTTCATCGGTAGTTTTGATCATAGTGAAGAATGATGTATCCATTATAGATCGGAGTTGTGCTGAATTAAGTCATAGACATGACTATTATTTTATGTATTTATTGAGTTTGAATAGTATTCCTAGTTGATGCTTGTTCTCATCTTGATTTTCATTATATTTTAATTAAAATATCATGTTTGAATCAAATTGTAAGCTTTTAATGATGTTCACATAATTAGATTGTTAATAGAGAAACTTGTGGGAAAAGTATTGTAGCTATCAAATCTTCCTTAATTGTTAAATGAGGCATCTTGATAAATGATTGAATTTGTATTGGTAAGGTATTTAGGATTGGATTTATGATTGGATAGATGGTTGGTACGCATAAATATGACTTTGAATCAAATTATAACTACATGAATAGATGTATTATATCATTTGAATCTATTTTTTATGGGATTACTTGATGGCTAAAAGATTAGTGCTTTTGTAAAGACATCAAACGCCTTTGATCTATGGTATTAGTTTTCTATAATTTTCACCTCATAAAATGTGTTATGCAATTCTCTTTGTATTCCTATGAGATCCTACATAACTATATATGATGCTACTAAAAAATTTTCAATTTTAGGGAATCTATTGTTGTCCATGTATAGTTTTCTATTATCATTGTAATTTAAGAAGTCTATGAATGTAGCATATATTGTTAATATACCTTTGGATATTGATATATGAACTTAAATTAGCATATTGAATTATATGACTCTTTATATATTTAATTATTCACTTTTCTTTTGTATGATTCTTAAAGCATGTTATGAATTTATATAAGACGCATTATTGTCATAAATTTATGAGTACTCTATATATAGTTTGACATTCATGTTATGACCTCATGCATGTCATTGTGTGACAATATCATGATATTTTGCATGTGTAGCTGGTTTAACAGATATGTTGCATTGTACTTGTTTTGCGATATTCATAAACATATGGGAATGAATACATGTTTGCAATGTACGTGCAATCGAATGAAATGAGACGTATATGCATGCGAGCGACTAAGAGCATTGTGCATTTGTCCAGTTCAATTAATTTATAACACTGCATAAATAGATTGAGAAGAATGTCCCTGCCAATTACATTATATCCCACAATCATCAGTTTAGTCATATTATCATTTTTGCATCCATAAGTTCATATTGTCTTTTATGTCATAATTAATGTGCTATCCAAGTTCTATGAGTTGTATAAATATTAACTATATTGCATATGTTTATGTGCACGTTGTTCTATTGGAGATATAGACATTAAAGCATGATGATTGTGCATTGGGAGATATAAAGTTGGTTTGCTTTTTATATTAAGTTAATGTTCTCAAGGTAATAATCTCATTAATATATTTTTTTCATCTAGATATTATAGTAAAATATATTGAAGTCATAAGATATCTTTATGATTTTTTAATTATAATTAGTTCATATATATATATATATATATATATATATATAGTGCTCTATTTCGCATTGGAATTTGCGACCTAAAAAGATAGCTTTACCCACTTTAACAATATTTGTAAAAACATAAGTAATGAATTAAATTTAGTTTATATTTGAGTTTATAGTTATTAATTATAATTAAAATAGCAAAATGATGATGATCAACATAACTATCTTATTAATAACCAACAAACCATTATTATATCGCCATTAGTTAATTAATTTTGGTATGGATTTAAATATTTGTATGACACCTTAATCTTTTATGGCATCTATATGTATACTAATTTTGCATGATTTATACACTAAAATATTATTAAGAAAATTAAAAATTACGATATTTGATATTTTAGAAAAATTATATATTAAATAGATTAATGAAATTTTTTATATTATTGCATTGTAAGATATACAAATTTAATTTTTGGGCAATAACATACAGACCATCCAAAGTTTTCTATTTACAAATCAACCACACTCTTCCGTGCATTTTTCAAATTCTCACTTAAATATCAAAATTCATTGTAAAACTCCAATCCATATTTTTTCATTTTTATCAAATTCTCAATAATTTGATCTTCACAGGCAAACATAAATACATCAGTTCGTGCCACACCCCGCTCGTCAGGACTTACAAGAGATTTACAAGACTTACTAGGAGTGTGTCAGTCGAAGATTAAGAAATAGTTCTGATAAAAAACACGTGATATTAATAACAATTGACCATAAAATAAATTATTAGTGTCTAAATCCAAAATTTTCATAATAATCTATCTATTAACATAAAAAAAATAAGCTATCATTACAATATTCAATCAAATAAATAGTTTTAAAGTTAACTGCCTCCAATACTAAACCTGAAATTCTTAAATTTTAAGGAGATAAAATATGATCTTTTTAATTGAGATTTATCTAATGGTGTTGAAATAACAATAGAAAGAGAAAGATAAATGAACAAATGATCGTTGGATCCTTGGATCCACGTACCAACATAACAAAATATATGTCAGCGTTAAACTTAAAGAAAATTTGACTGGTCAATGAAAGCGTTGTAAAAAATGACCCACCAACGATACGCCATCATGAAGAAAATCTGACAAATCAAAGGAGACGTAGTAAAAAAAAACTCACCAAAGTCATAAATATACACCACATGAGTTAGAAGTGTCTATCATCTTGGTTTTCTCGGAGCAGAAGCCAATCGACCAACAAGGGTAGGCTGGTCAGAGATTCTGTTGATCGTCAAACACCTTCAGTCAACGACCACTTTTATCGAGCAGAGACTTCTGAGTGGACTTTCGCCAACCCAGAGATTATCGGTCGATCGACAGAAAGAGCCGAGTCAAAGACCTACTTATTTATTTATCCATTTACACGAATATTTAGATCTTTATTTATTTTTTTACAAAACTATCCTATAGCTCAAAATGTTAGTTAACCGTGTTCTTGTACCATCCTTTGTTGCCTATAAAAAATATTAGAAGTTTTAACCTACCGTGGAACGTTCTAAGCTCCATTTATATATATACATAAATACAGAGCGATGTATGTGCGTGGTCATCCCACACGGCTGGCGTTTGGTGAATTCGTGATGCAGTTCATCATAAAATGCAAGAAGATTAGTCCTTGCAAATACTCAGTCGTAGCTCGATCGGTTGTCGTTTTGCCATTTTTAAAGTTCTGATTTTGTCTTCCCTTCTGAATCGTTGCTGTTAACCTATTTTCAACCTAGATTTCGGAACTGGTTCTTGGCCATTAGAAGCGGGCAAGGCGGCAGCCTAGAATCAAAACGGGATTCTGAGAAATGATTCTGTTTTAACTACGGTTGCTCCGATCAAATTATTTATTTTCATAGTTGTCATCGTTGACAAATGGAATCTGTGTGTTTATCAGAATTGATTTCGATTAGTCTAGCTAGGGTTTCTGCTGTCCCCTTCTGTTTGATTTGTTTTGTTCGGACTTTTCTTCGTATGATTTATGTGTCTGTAACGTTACTGGGTTTTCAAAGGTCTTTTCTTCTCAGTTTTGAATTTGGTCAGAATTTTCTTACTCTGCAATATAAAAAAGATCTTAGGGCTTTTCTGAAAATCTGCATATTTCCTTACAAAGAAGCGAGTTGAGGTTTTGGCTTAAGTTGAAGGGAGAGGGAAATGGAGTGTGAATGATTTGGCATTGATACAGAGCAGCTTGGTATGGAGATGGAAGGTAGAGGGTTTTCAGAACTCGTTAGAAGTACTACTGAGGAGATTTTCATGAAGGCTATGGTGGATAACCCTATTGGAAATTCAGTGCCGAACATGGGGAATTTAGGGTTCAATAACTTTATGCAGCCTTTTAATGCAGACAGTTTGGAGCTCTTCAATGGCTGGCTAATGAATGGAGAGGCAATACTTCTTTCTACTCTTTTTTACTTTTGATTTTGTTTTCCATGAGATTTTGGTTTGATGAATCCATCCGTTGAGAATTTAGTTCTGTAAATATATGAATTTGATTTACTTTTGTTGATTGGGATGGCAACATTTTTGAACTCTCGTGAGGGTTTATGAAGAGATTTGAAGCTAGGATATGGTTACTGTTTTCATGATTTCTTTTAGCTTCCTTTTAAGAAGGATTGGTTAGTTCAATGGCGCATGATGAAAGGATTGATAGAGGTATTCGAAGATTTTACAACAAGTTCAAGTCTTTAATAACAAATGTTGCTCATATGTAATTAATGATAACTTAAATCGATTTTTTTTTATCTTTTTATAGTAAACACGATGAATGTGTAACTCTTTGCCAACTAAAAATTTTTGTCAAAAAATTATGACATGAATCCTTTATGAAATGACAAACCTTGGTTTCTCATTTGCGGTTTGTGCTTAGCTTTAGTCCTTCTAATTCCTTTCTACATGTGCTATACTGGCAGCAAAACTATTATTTTTTAAACAAGAGAGAATAAAGAAGAAAAATTACCACATTTTCATTTTCCTTTACCCTACAGAGCATTTGTGCATTTGACAGCATGAGTTGGGCATTTTATGTTTTTGTTAATTATAGTTATAGAGGAGAATAAGCATAATCTAGAAGCATTGAAGATAATGTTGTTCAAGAAGTCATGTTTGGTTGTAATTTTATTGTATATCATGGATCTGGTCATTTTTTCCATGGAACTTTTTAATTCTTCTTATTAATTTCCTTGAATCATTGTAATCTTTCCTAATAATCTGATTTCAATGACTTACATTTTGACATTGTTGCTTTCATGAAATTTCAGAGTCCTGCTTCAGGCATCACTCATCGAACGCGTCAAGCTTCTATGAGGTTAGTTGGCAGTATTTTACATATTTAGACTTTTTCCCTTCAATATTATTATTCTGTCAAATGCAGTCTCTTTTGGGGATTACTTTGCAAATAGTATCTTACAAAATAATCTGTTCAAAATATTAGCAGTATCTTACAAAATAATGAAACAAATTTATGTGCATCTCTATCTTTCTATCTGTGTTTTACTCATGATATTGATAATAATAACAATTCCATTAAAGTTTGTAACCACCAATTTAAACAAAGCAGGAGAGAATCTGCATTATGCACATTTTTCCATGGATTTTGTGGAGTTATTATCCACCAATTTCTGACATAATTTGCAGGATATCAGCCGACCTTGGTTTATGTCAACAAAATGCAGTATCCTTTTCAACGAAAAGCAGCCATGCAAATACATCTGTTCAAAATTTTATTGATGATCATTCGAGTCATCCTGACCAATATTCTCTAAGGTTGTTATCTTCTTATGAAATCTGGCAATTTACTTGTTTCTTAATTTTCTGCAAGCTTTTCATGGCTGATTTGCTCATTATTAGTAAGATATTTGCATCATAAAGATATGTGTGATTAATACGATTAAGATGCTAGTTTTTGCTGGATGTCAAAGCTTTGTGTTTCTTGCAATATTTAGGTTGATAGAGATATCTTTTGTTTAAAAAATAATAGTTTTGAACAGATTAGTATTTAAATTTTAACTATCATCCTGACCAATACTGGCCAGCATGGGTTACTTACTGAAAGAACAAAATTTTAAATAGAAATTGGAAATTTTCTCAGAAATAAATCAAATTCCGGCATTTACCTGCAGGAGTAAATTTGCTGCCATGCAAGACTCTCAAGTTAAAGTGATTCCTCATGCACCACATAACGTTGCAGCACATAGTGCTCTTAGACTCGAGCACGAGTTCACAAATAGGAGCAATCTTTTCAACTTTCCAATGGCTGGAATGCCCAACCAGCTGCAGAAATTAATGTCTCCCTCTAATTCATCCACGCCTTTCAAGCATTCTACAGCGACAGGTGATACAATTTCGTCAGTTCTGAGCATGCTTGAGGGTAATTTAGAGCCTGAAAATTTTGGCAGAAATGTTGATAAAGAAACTTTTGAAGGTTGTTCGTATGGCGCGTTAACTTCTCAAGAAGCTGCATGCAGCATAAGCCCCGTTTTTCATATTTTCTCCCCAGTTGATAGGGCAGCTTCTCGAGAGTCTTTAGAATTGAGCATGAAAGGTTTTCCGGCTGAGAGGAATCATATACAGATGCGTAATATTTCTCGAGAGACTTCTCAAAGTGATTCGTCGACTGCTGCAGCTGCGCTTTCTATGGGTTTTGATGTTTGTAGCAATTCTAGAAAACATGTTGGCTATGGTTCTTTGGATCTTGAGACCAGGGACAAGGGTAGGTTCTTTCATTTTTTTATTTTGATTTTTTGGCATAAACTATTTCAACATAATAAAAAATAGGGGCATTTACATACATAGCACACAATTTTTATGTATTTACATATCTCACACCTAAATTTTCATATTTACACATACATATAGCACTCAAATCTTAAATATCACATAAAAAATAGCACCAGTCACTTTTTAAAATTGGAATACACATTTTCATGCATAGGTTTAGAACATCAAAGTGTAAATATGAAAGTTTAGGTGTGAGATATGTAAATACATAAGAATTGTGTGCTGCATATGTAAACTATTAAATTTCTCAAATTTCATAAAAAATTACCTAATAGAAGGATTATCTTTGGATCGTATTTGAGAAGCTAAGAGACTAAATTGAATACATAAAATATTCTAAGACTAATCTGGCCCCATATAAATCACCAGGGATCATTTTGAACTTTAATACTTTAAAGAGCTTAAGAAGCTTATAAACGTTGATCGGATACATTTTCCTTTTCTTTCTCGAGCAATTTTAATCCAAGTTGCTGCTGACAGATATCCTTCTCCATGCAGAATCTAGAGAGAGAATGTTAGAAACTCATTTCAAGGATTCTACCAAGGTATGCTGTTAGCCAACTATTTGTCAAAATCATTTTGGCAAATTTCTTTTTTGGAAGATTTACATATATAACCACTGAATTCCTATGAATTTACATATCTAACACCTAAACTTCAATTTTTACATATACGCACATTACCCATGCATAAAAAGATGTGTTTCACTCTTTAAAAGTTAAAATAGTGGTAATTTTGATGTGATATCAATGATTTGGTTGGTCTAAATGTAAAAATTAAAGTTTAGATATGTAAATATATAGGAATTGGGTGTTATGTATGTAAATGCCCCTTCTTTTATTTATGACCTTGATTACTTATTTTACTTTCGTATAATCTTCGTTCTTCAGAAAGAAAGTTTAGCATGGATGGACTCTGTCTCTTCAGGTACTTCATTTGGACCAATGCTCATTAACGTTATGCTCCTTTCTTCTGTTTTGTTTCTAATTCATTTCAAATTATGTTGTGCTTTCATTTTAAAATAAGTATTAAAAAGTATTGAAGTATGAATCTTTTTTTTATAAGATGATGAGGAGGAATTCAATTTAGCCAATATATTCATATCAAGCTTCTAACTTGATGAGATGTTACTAGTAATGAGTTATTTAAACAATTGATTTATATGTTCTCAGTTACTGTTGATTAAATTTTATGATTTCAGATTATTTTTAAAGGACTAAAACCTTGTTTTTCTTGATGAAACTTACAATCCATAGACTCTTATAATATGTGACCCAAGTAAACAGTTAGAGGGCTGTTTTGACACTTTACTCTTCCTTTCACGGATAATTATTGACAAATTCATATATGATCGGAACCATATAGATCCCTTTTCATGTTGTTCTTTGATCAATTAAACAATTTAGGGTGCGTTTGAGGCAGGATGTGCTTATCCAGATAAGTCGTTTATCTGAAAATGCAGATCACGGGGTTTGACCCGCGTTCCACGTTCAGTGTAAAAAACCAACAGTGTTTTTGGATAAGCTGCTAAAACGCAGTTTCCAACCTATGAAGTGGCATTTTCAAAACACCACCACAGCAGATAAGCTGCGCCAAACGGAGCCAATCTACGATATTTTCCTAATTCAGTTTGTCATCAATAGCAATGGTCTTCTAAGAAATATTTTACTTTTTTTTAGTGCATGTTAGCCATCCCAAAAATTTGTTCCAAGGTAAAGCATGCTGCACAAGATTTGCTAGAACCTAGAAAATATGGAATTTTGCATTCAGTTTGCAATGTTCATAATTTTAAAAACTATAGGAAGTTTTTCTATCCATATTCTATGCAGATAAAATGCCTTTATAAATCCATTCACTACTCATACATTGCATCATACTTATACTACTTTAATATTTACTGAGCTGCCAATTAAATGCAGTGGGCAAGGTGGACTCCACAAAGAGAAGAAGGGTTGAGCGCTCACGCAAGTATGAAATACTACACCTTCAATAAAAGAATGAATTTTGACGTTCATGTTTCTTTATTGAATACAGTGAAGTGGTTTTATAAGAAATATTACAACTTTGCATGCTTGTTTTTCAAGGGTTGTTTGGAATCACTTTTCCCATCTAAGGGTTGTTTGGAATCACTTTTATGTTCTAATTTTCATTTTTGCCCAGTTCTTTTTTAAAACACTTGACATATATTTTTGATGTTTTGAGTGTTTTCAAAAAAACAAGTTGATTTGTTTTTTAAAACCAAAAAAAAAACATATAAGTATTACGCCAACCAAACATATTTTCAAGAACAAAGAGAAAATAAAAATAAAAATATGAAACAAAAGTGATGACAAATAGGCTCTAAAGTTATATGATCTTTTCTATTTAGGATTGTAAACGAACTGAACTTGAGCGAGCTCAGGCTTGGCTCGTGTTCTACTCGTTAGAAATTGCTCGTGTTCAAAATTGGCTCGTGAACAGTGTGTTCGGGTTTGACTCGATTTAAATATTCATTTTCGTGCTCTGCTTGTGTTCGGCTCGAAATTAGCTCGTTAAAATTAATTGAAAAAAACAGATGTAGTGTTATATTCAAACCTGAACCAAATCTATGTAAAAGAAGACACATAATCACATTACCACACAAGCTGTTATGATTTAAACTTAGATATAAATATATATAATATATTATTATATAAATATTATATATAATATATTATTATATAAATAATTATATGTTTTTTTGTTTTTTTTTAAGCTAAAAACAGTCGAACACGAGCGAACAAAGAGCTGTTCGTGTTTGACTCGTTTATATATCGAGCTTAAAAAAGTTATTCGTGTTCGGCTCGCTTATTTAACGAACGAGCCGAACACGAGCTTATTCGCTAACAACAAACCTTTTTGACAGTCCTATTTCTATTCAGTTTATGTTTGCTCTTTGCTTCTAGATAAGATCCTTAAACTCTAAACATCATTTATGAATGTTTTTCATTGTGATTTAGGATGGCCGAAGCGAAGGAAAGAAATTCGAAGCCATCTCTACCATCAGATATGGAGGGAATTCTGAAGCACTGTGAGAATCTCGAGCAGGAAGTTCGATCTCTCAAACTGAATCTTTCCTTTATGAACAGGTAATAGAATTTTAAAAAGTTAACAGCAGCTCAAACTAAAATGTAATAACTGAAAAAGGAGACATTTTTCTCGTTGTAATATATATGCTTTGCATGTATTCACATGCATTTTCATGCATCTGTGTGTGCTGTTCAATTCATTTCATGTTACTAGACTGTTCTCTACATGTTTTCATTTGCGCACCAATTTTACTAAGGAAAATTTACATACATACCCCTCATGTCATATATAGCTAACACCCAAGCCTCAAGATTTACATAAATGCCAATTTATGTATGCTTGAGAAAGTGTATTTTTTGTGATAAGAAAGATTTACGTGGTGTAAATGTATGGGTGGAATCAGGTTATATCCAGGGTGGATAATTGTCAATCTTGAAATTTGAGATTTCTTTATATTAGTAAAATTTACCATTGTTTTCTTATGTGATATATGTAACTTAGTAAGTTTGTCCCACCGTCTATACATTTTTTTTCACACAATATTCGCAAACAATATATA